ATTGGAGTTTGTCTGTGTTTCCACTGCAGTCTGGAGCCAGTCAGTCTACTGGAATGCAATAAAGATGAGCAACCATGTTCTGCTGTCGTGATCACTGCTCTCTGCGTCTGACTGGTCAGTGCTGAGCTACAGAGGCCACTGTGAACAGGGGCATTAAAGAGCCTTCACAGGACTCTTTTGTGTGGGAGGTTGGACACGTACTTTAGGACCGCAGTGAAACTGTTTTCAGAGTAATATTTTTTGGTAAACATCACCCCTCACCTCATTTGCCTGCCACTGCGTCTCTCTTAATCAACAAATTGATTGCAAACAGTAAAAACTTCGGTCCAATAACAAAGGAGCTACAGAGGAGTGAAATACTGAAGAGTAATGAACACAAGATGTCAATGTTAAGCATTACCAGCATCTCTCTAGAGTTTCTTTGTAAGTGGATTTTAAGGGGTAAAAAACTAAATGTCAGCCCTAATCCCTGCAGTGGAAACTCTAAAGGAACCTGGTTCTGCTGATAGAAACAGCTTTCTTCTGACAACACTGGCAATATCCTGCAATTATCTTACAATAAATTTTCTGTTAGTATTTTGTTTTATATTTCGTTTTGTATTTTCTAATTGAGGCCTCTTGTCCGGTTTCATAACAGCAGATTTCCTTCTTGTTTGCAGATGAAGCCGGTGCAGAGATGTGCTGGTTGAGGCAGTTTTAGGAAACTGATGTTCTTTGTCTGTTATGGACCACATGTTTCAGTCCACGAGTATGTCTGGTTTTTCATCAAATTCTTTAGTGCTCTTCTTTGTGTCTTGTTTGCATTTGAATGGGAATTTGAATGCCTAAGAAAGCTGTACTTATATACTGCAGCCAGTTTCATCTTGTGCCTTGTGTTTGTGGGTGTCTGGATGTCCAGTGCTTTTGGTTTTATGGCCAGATATGCACTTCCAGTACGGCCTTTAGCCAACGATGTCAGAGAAAATTGGTAAACCTCAAGATCAGTTCAGTCCTGACCTGCTGTCAAAAAAATGAAGCTCCCCAAATTCTGGCTTCCTTCTCTCAACCTGGCAGCAGTTCCAGCTCATGTGAGCACAACTGCTACATGTATGAGGACAAACATCGAAAAAATGCAGATACCCCCCAAAACTTGTTGAGTCGTGTGTGTGTGTGTGTGTGTGTGTGTGTGTGTGTGTGTGCGCTTTCAGAAAGTTCTAGCTCTGCATAGATTTGAATAAAGCAGGTGTGATGGTTGCTTCATGTGTGGCACTAACATAGGAGCCTCAGTTTGCAGAAGGTGATTTAGTCTTAATTGAATAGATGCTGAACTAGCAGTCATGTCATAATCAACATGATGATGATGATG